AATATCATAATCTTAAAGTCGTAAGTCGCATGTCAATATCCCCTTACAGGTTCTGAAGAAGGCGATACTCCTGAAACGTCAGCTACTGTTGTGTTGTATGCTTTCTTTTTGTAAGGAAGTAAAGGTATGCTGTATGACAACCTTGTGATTGCTGGGAAAGACAAACGACGCGTTTATAATCCAATGCCGAGGTTAATAGAAACTCGGTCCTAGGAACTGCTGCAAGAGTAAGCATATTTACTTATTTTACCGCTGCTTCATGCATCCTGTGGGATTTTGTCTTTCATGAATGCAACGAATCTGTCACCTGTGAAGAATCTATAGCCTTACGAACTTTCTTGCCTAGAGAATAGAAGGTTAGTCGCGAACTAAAAGCGATCATAAACGAGTCGCGAAGAGAGTTAAAAGTAATGAATTGCAATTAAAGGACTAGAAACAATAAACAGCATTTCCCCATACACGTGCATGTTTCGTTTTTATATTCTTCTAATCGGTCGTCGCTCGGCCACCTTAATGGTTTATCGTGAGAGGATGTTCCAGCATGTAGAAGAAACAGAAGTTCATTACCCGGCAAGATGGCTTATTATGGGTAATCAAACAACGAAAGTCCACTAAACGTTGAACGCATGCTATGGAGAATTGGAGAAGCTGGAACGTACCGTGGACGAATATGAAAGCTTTTTTATCACTTACACCAGTAATTTGATCATTGACACAACTGTGTCTTATAGTAGAGGGAAGAGTGTGTTATTAATTAGTAATTACGCGAATTGATGCATTGACTGTATCTATTTTCAAATAGAGGGAGAGAGAGAGGCAAATGCATTGCAACCCATACTACTTCGTGACTGACTGGTCTTCATCAACTGTATTGACAAATAGCAGTAGATATATACACACATATGCATATATACACGTGGTATATATACTCACATACATATAGACGGACAGACGGACGTGCATACATATAAGCAGAGAATTGCACTTATGTGTTTCGTCTACAAGTTCAGTATTTGTCGTCTCACCTGCCGACCACAGACAGACTCATTTCTTGTCATCGATGATTGACTGAAAGTGAAATGAATTAAAACTAAGAAGAAAGAAAGTAACTTACTTCTACATTTGAACAGATTCTGGTCTTGCATTTCATATAGCAGTTTTTCAATCCTTAAATCCTTTCCAGATTCATATTTCTTTTTTACAAATGGAGATATGTTTCAATGACAAAGTTATGAACACCAAAATGTATCGTAATTGAGGAATGGTACTAAGCACAATTGAGTTTGTAAAGTTCTAATTCCTTCTTATCGTCTTCCTTCCTTTTTTGCCTATCGTTTTTGTTTCTTCTTCCTCTTTTCTTCTTTGTTTCGCTCCTTTTTCCATCCCTCGTACTTGCTTCTTTCCTTCTCCTCCTCCTTTTTCTTTTCCTTCTTTCTTTCTTCTTCTCTTACTTTCCTCCTTTCTTTTAAGAATGGTCAGTGATCAATTTTATTGATATCGTATAATCTTCCTTTCACACTTTGGTAACCGCTTTGGTTTCACTTTTTCAGAGCTTTTGGAATTATTTCCAGTTAGGATTTTCTAACTACAGATATATGTAAATCTTTAGTGGAATAGTAATTTAGTAGATCCATAATAAATACAAATTCAATCACTCATTTATCAAATTAGCTGATGGAGTCACATTTTTAGTACAGTATGAAATTTACCACATATGGATTTTCAAAAGGGACGCATGTAGCGCAGTGGCTAGAGGCGCCCTGCAATACACAAGGAATCGATACCTCGCCCCAGGCTCACCAAGTCTTCCATCTTTTTGAGATCAGCAGATTGGTACCAGACCTGTCTGGGAGGACAGCAGCACTGGCTCGACACATCGATAGTGTACCGCGAGTCATTGGAAAGGCCATATATGCATTTACTCACCTTTAACGATGCTTAATGGAGTCGAATTCATGGCGCATCTCTCAGGGAATGATCAATGCCGAAAGCCTAAACTTTTGATGTACATTCAGTGCCAAATTTAACTCCAATGTCCTCGTTTTCTGCCATGGGCTGCTGTGGCTTTATTATGGTCTTCTGGGAAGATGCCGTTGAGAAGAATATTTTAACCATAGTCCATATATTTGTCATGAAAGTAGAAATATGGTAGACAGAATTTTTTTGAGATACACATGCAGTCCAAAAGTCTTTGGCAAAAATATCGCTTTCTCTGCTTTGCTCTATCCTTTCGTCAAAAATTCTCATTAAGAAGCGCTGTTCATTCTTTTTTTCGTTTTTCCTTTGTCGTTTCCTTTTTCCCGTTACGATAACGTTTCGACCTATCACTAGAAAAAAACAGTTAACCGATTTTTTTTTCTTACAGAATCAACCACGTTAGAGTGTTGTTTGTACGACCGTTGAAGATTAGCGTTCTTAGCGTCGACATCGCTGACGACAAAACAGCTCGTTTCTAACAAACTTCACTAATAGGACGACCACTGTCAAAAGTCTGCTGCTGCTGCTCCACAAATGTCATCAACAATCGAAGCCGAAACGTCAGTGAAACGATGGTCGACGCCGGTTGTGAAGACTGAAGAAGGACAACCACCAGGACCGGTTAGTCGCCTAGAGGCGGAATCGGTTTAGAGCATGTAAAACACTAATAGAACCCGACTTGACTGCTAGAACATTGAATTTTCAACCTAAGGTCGCTCTAATTTTACTCCTGCACTTTCACGGCTTCTGGAAAGAAACAAATCATCTTCTAGACTCACAATATTAAAGCGGAGGTGTGTAGGAAATAGGTATTGATGGCATCCGACACGTTGGGTGAACCAAACCTCCCATCTTTTTGGGTTCGGAAAATTGATGCAAGGCCCATCTGGGAGGATAAAAAATGCTGATTTGGTGCATAGTTGTGCCTGTTTGGGGCAATGTATAGTCTAAATATGCATTCAATCACCTCTTTGATGCTACGAATAGAGTCGGATGCAGAGCGTATTTTCAAAGGATAAATCAGCGCCTTAGTTATCCTATAACATTAAGGAAAATGGACACGTATCGAAATCTTGATGGATTTAAAGTACTTTTTCACCTAGTTTTTCAAAGGAAACGACTATATTGACACACCCCGATTTATTTTTATTTTATACGACCCTTCTTCACGTCTACTATGAGGATGTAGGACTTCTCACAGTCGATTCGTTTCCTCGCATTCATCTTCAACGCATTCAACTTCAAGGTCTTCCAACTTTTACGCGTGGCTTTTCCTGCTGCCTGAAGAATTTTATTTCATTTTGAACGGTGTAGAATGATGGTAGATTCCTCGAGTCCTGATATAGCCGGGCTAGAGCGTTGCCAATTGGATTGCTGAACGTGATTTTACCCGTACAAGTCCGGAACCAATTTCCCGACCCCGGAAAGATGAGAGGGTTGCTGAGCCTGGGGCAGATTCGAACCAGCACCGTGCTCGTAATGATCGAAGTAACTACCACTGTGCTGTCCGTCCTCGATATACCCTAACATAGTCATCTAAAAGGAAGCTTCTGCAGATAGTCGCTGAACCACCACTTTAATTTGATTATCATCCAGCTAGTTTAGCGATAGTACTAAATGAATGATGCGAATCATATTAGCTATTACCCAACATTCCTCACAGTTCCATTGCCTTCGGAGCTTTACGCCTACTTCTTTCGAATTATTCACGCTTGCACTGAAGTTACGCCAGTCACGGCTTTAAGAAGTTGGAGAATTTACACGAAATGGAACGAAAACGATAGCTTTGCTTTGAGGTTCTATGATACACGCTTGTAATGTTTGGCGCTTGTTTAAAACCAAGCTTTAATATCTTCTAGGGTACAAAATTGGCCACGTTTTAGTCGTGAACATAAGCCTTTCTCAACTTATCCACTTAATTATAAATGTATTAAGTGCAAGGAATATAAGAAGCGTTTGATTTCAAAAAGCAAAGGCAGAATGAAGCGAATGGTCGATAAAAACTATCCACAAGGATGCGACACAATCTCATCCTAGCCGAACATCGGGTTTTGGTGTTTTCACGATTTGGAATTAGCATAAGCAATCTTTCCGCTACCCTTTACATCCGTAGGCTTTTTGGCTACGGTAAAGGTGTATTGTAATAGAATAAACACTTCCAGGACGATCATCCATCAACGAAAGAGGGTAGAACACGAAACGGAAACGTGAAGACGATCACACCCAACTATAAACTTGGGTCAGAAAAACCTGTGGGTGTCATTTTTTTTCTGTTTTTCCACAAAATGATGTTGGGAATAGTAGCATAGAGAGAAGAGATCTTGATATCCAAATCATGCCATTATTCCCCTTTTTTAGAGTCACGAGTTAAAGCTGGGGCCAAGTGGTTATCTACCGGAGGGCCAGGGTGACTATAAGGTTAGTGTCCAGTAGCAATAAATTAAAGAGACGTGGTAAGAGCTTATCACTTAGAAAGAAAATGGCTGATTTAGGTGAGCATGCGACATGAAGACTACAAGCTCACCGTGATCGATCCGAAGGTATAATTTTTATATATTGTTAGACTTTCTAAACTCCAAAAAACCATGAGGACTTTTCCATGCTAGGAGACATGAGTAAACCACTCAACGATCCCTCTGGGGCTATAACGGTTGGCTTGGTAGATGCGTGTATCTGCTGTGTATCCTCAATTTAGTACATGACATACCCACATGATGTTCTACTGCAAGCACGAAGTACATGAATTTTATCAGCATTCCAGTTCCATTCCTTTATTTGTTTAACTTTTCTCGTTTTTCACGTTTCGTTCCTGTTTTCATGAGGTCATCAGAACTTCACAATTGTGAAGGTGTAAAAGTAGTGACAAGGTTCATTAAGACTTTGTTCTTATCATACGATGTTTTTCATACACAAACCGAAGTGAGCTGTGCTTGGATTCTGTAGGAACTTTTTTAGATTATATTATTGTTCATATCAGTAATGATGGTCGTTAACGTTCGTTCCAGGTGCGTTCTAGTGCAAACATGCCGTACCATACGCAAACTCTTCCCGATGCGAAAAGGCAGTTAGCCGGTGATTTTCCGAGTGAACACTCAAAACGTAGTCTTATCAAACTCGAACCGCTTGAACAACGACGATTCAAGGTTCATGTTGATTTTAGACATGACACATTCAATTGACGTTGAAAAAGAAAATAAAATGCTTTGAAACTCCTCTTGTTAGACGGGTTTTGGTGTTGGTGTCGGCAAGAAAATCGTTCGTTAACGCTATCAGGTTGTTACATACTGTAGGACTGAGCAGCAGCACCACGACATACAAACAGTTCCTAAGCAATATTCCTTATCGTGGTCGCTCTCCTTCATCTTTTTGTTGTTCTACTATTTAACTTGCAAGGACTGCAACTTACTGACACCTAAATTTTCTGAAGAGTTAGCTTGAATAGAGCCGGATCTATCGGCTTATATCTCAGTGACTACTTTTTTAATAGTCTGCGATGCGATATTTCCATTGTTAATATGACTTTCCAACAATATATGTTTTGAAATTCCTCCTAGTGGCTTACCGCCTCATCGTGGATTGAAGGTGTTCCTGGGTGTTGGGTTGTATTGTAGAGCGAGGAGATTCATTTCCTCGGCAGGGTCTCCCAAGCTGAGAAAGAGTCCGGCGTTACCATCAGGAAGTCCACCTAAGAGTAAACCAAGATCCACCACAACTCTGGTATCAAACTAGTCACAAAGTGGTAAATCTCCCTTTGATCCACTAGGGCTACGACTGCCTGCGGTGGTGACGACGTGGGGCAGACTTTGGCCGGGCTGCCCTCGGGCCTCCAGGAAACCACAATAGCTAAACCAGCAAATCTCCGGAAATGAAAATTATGCTGGTGCCCACACAACGAGTGAAAGCGGTCCATCCAAATATCCTAGCATTTTTTTTTGGTTGATGTTGAGCCAAGTTAGTAGGTATTTTTTGTATTGAATTTTTTTAGTTTACCATTCCCTTTTACTCTAAAGTTTTGTCATTATATCCTTCTTTTGTTTCAAATTTAAAGGTTACTGCCATACTCAACATTAATCCTGTAAGCCTAGGAATGCCGATCAATTTATGCAGAATTTATCGATATAGTTGTTGCCTTGCTTGTTTTTTCTTTGTGATTTTTAGCTGTTTCTTTCAGAGTGTAGAATCTCGTCCGATCACCACTAGTAACTATTTGACGGAAAGCGTTGAACGACATCGTGATATGGAAGCCAGCCGACTTAGAGACTATCTGAAAGCTAAAGAAAGTGAAGCGAATAAACCGTGGAGTAAACCCGGATGGCCAGGACCGAAGGTACGGTAGCATTCATGCGTGCCGAAGTGTACTCGTTCTTACAAATATGATTGCGTGAAAAACTCTTGACTTAGCTTGAAAACTTGGCTAGGTGTTGTCCTTCTTTGCTCACTATTTCACCGTTGAATAGAATGAGTTCCGGTTTTCAAATAGTTCCTAAGAAACATATCAGAAGAAGGTTGACGATGATTTCACTCCTATGAAATTACCTTCGTAGATGATTATAATGGGCTTCTCTGAACGATGGGACGACCTTGTATTCTTTTGAAGACTTTATCAACAAATGAACTTTCTGGATTTGAAGATCCAGCTTTCATCTTATCTTTCACCATATCATATCTTTAAATTGTTCGCTAAGTTTTTCTATCCTTGACGAAAGGCCTTTAAAACAAAGGGTACATTGAAGGGAAAGTCATATCCTTCCACGTCGATCAAATACCATTGGAAATTAAAACGACAAAGGATAAGGCTTTCGGCGCTGATCAATTCCTAAGGGACACTCCATGCATTCGACTTCATCAAGCATCGTTTGGAGGTGGTTGAATGCATATCTGGCCTTTACAAGGACTCGCAGTGGCCTCCCGATGTATCGAGCCAGTGCTGCTATGCTCCCAGACAAGTCTGATACCAATTTCTCGACCTCAGAGGCATGGAAGACTTGGTGAGCCATGTGCGCGGTAATCGATCCCATCTGTGTGTTGCAGAGTGCCTCCGACCACTGCGCCAAAAGAACCCCTATTGGGAATTAATGAAAAACAATTTCTTTCTTAATGTGACAATTTCCATTAGCCTCTTTGCGTTTGGAAATTCCAATGTACATAACGACTTCCTGCTGCAGAAACTAAGTCTTCAGCTTTTGCTCATCCCACTTCTCTTTAATATTCTTTTGTGACCTTTTCGAAACGAAACGAGTTCTAACCTCCTTTACCGTAACCGTATCGTTCTTTAGAAGAGTGATGACGAGAGCCTTCGTGAGTTGGAGCACATCAAAAAAGTAAGTTTTCTTTTAAGTTCCCATTTCATATTTGACAAAGTCTTTTAATGTAATTAACTCTTTCAGTCAATCGAGACCCTGCAAAAGGTAAGCGGATGTAATGGTGTGGTGATTTTTTCTTATATGCATGTGGTGTGCATATGGTGCAAGTCATATGTCTATCTGCGAGTATCTATGAGCGTGTATGTGTGTGTGTGTGTGTGTGTGTGTGTGTGTGTGTGTTGTGTATGTGTGTGTGTGTGTGTGTGTCTGTCTGTCTGTCTGATTGTATACCGTGGAGAGGAGTTCCCAGCTCAATGTCCTTTGTGTACCGTGGTGTCCATTTTACGTTTCGTGATAGTGTGATAAAGACCTCTGACCGCTGACCTCGGGCCTGGGCGATTTCTCTGATTGCAACAGTCCTCTGCTTGCCACTATCAACTACAATGTGATCACAAAGTAATAACAACAAGTGAGTTCTTAATCGAATTTTACTCGTAGTTTTTAATCAAGGCTTTGCGTTGATGGAATTTTAAACCTATTCATTCATTAAATTAATCCATTTCTTCTTCTTAAACCCAAGGCACTTTAAAATTAATCCAGCGCACAGCCCTAATTCAAATCCCATTTATTTTCGCCTAACTGGCCTTCTTTTTATCTTTACAAATTCAGAAAATCAATCATAGTCGATGCATGCGGGACCTCAGTGGTCGACTCACGCCAGCTGAATTCGCTCGTACTAACCGTCCGGTGTGTTGGTTTTACTGTTCTCCGTTTTTCCTAAGGTGTACAGCTCTTCCAGTTCCTGCACGAATTTATTACTACAATAGAACCATTGAGAATGTGTTTCGGCCCGTCCTAGATACACCACGAGTGACAAAGTGATAAAACGTTCGGGGTTGATCAAACTCTTTGATATGCCCCGTGCATTCAACTCCATTCGTAGAATAGTATAGGCTATTGAATGCATATTTGGCCTATATATTGACTAGCTGTAGCGTACCAATTTATGAAGTCGGTGTTTTTATCCTCGCAGAAAAGATTGGTACCAAATCGCCGGCTTTGTACAGGTGGGGGCATAGTCCACGTTGTACTAACGACAACGTGTGTATTTTTCAGCATTTCTGTTGAATCTCACTTTACACTGAGATTGGGCCAACAGATCGGAGTCTATACGTTTGAAAACCGCGGTGGCGGAGTCAAGTTTGCTCTTTGAGACTCATTTTATGAATTATATTCTTGCTTCATGTTTCGATTCATTGGCCTTTTTTTCACGAAGAATAATGTGGCGCACCAGGCACATTTCCTATTTCAATGGTACACCAGTAGTCTGGCCAGGTTTTTTTCCTGCAGTTTCCAGAAACTTACGACAGGGTGTCTTTACGTTTTCATAACACGGGTACAGCTGCCGATCTTTTTACGGTAAGGAGGATAACTGTCTTCTGAGCAAATTTAATCCAGAACAGTGGCCATTAACTCCATAGGGTTTAGTCGAAGCTGAATTTGTGATTGGTAATCTCAAACTCTTGGATGATCTGCCAAGGAATGAACTATATACTTGTAGCTTTTTGGAGCTGAAAAATAGTATTATACTATTCTTATCATCATCACCAACATATCGATTTCAGTCTTCAAAATCGCACATCGATGGTCGTAGCCATCTGAACGAATCCGATGTACTGCAACGACGATGGCGTTCTGTGGATCAGCTAGCAATCGAAACAAGGGCGAGAAACGAGCAGACGTCAAATATTTTAACGGTAAGCCTAATTATGTTGGTTTTTAGATAACTGGTAAGAAGTCAACTTCTGGCAAGGTGTATCCGCGAAGACGATTTTGGCACCCTTTCAATTTCATCAGTGCAATAGATTTATCTTTCCATTCTTATGATTATAACCTTCCAGACCACCATCTAACAGATTGCCAAATAGTTTACACAATAGTCTTGTGAGCTTGTCAGCACTTTGCTTTGTGACTGGTTTGCTGTTCACTCGTGACATCTATTTGCTACTATGTTTCAGTTTACTTATGCACATCGCATCCTCACTCACTCTCAACAACCTAACAACCTCATTTATTTCTTCCACTTCTTGTTTTTCTTGTTTTTCTTATTGTTCTTGGTTAGTCTTCTTCTTCTTCTTCTTTTCGTTCCTGTCCTTCTTCTTAAGCAGCTTGTTCTTCTCTTTCTCATTCTTCTTCTTAGTCGTCGTACTCCGTCACTTTTCACCACTTTCATTCTTTTATCGTATTAGAGTTCCTACGCCTCTAGCTTATGCAGTAAATCTTCGAGCTGCAACAGTTGTAACGAAAAACGTTATAGGAACGGATTCTTTGCCATGAATGAACGATGCATCAGAAAGACTATTCAGTTTTTTGTCTACTAGTCAACCATTAAAACTAGCCAATTAGCTACGGCAATGTAACCAACCTAGTCGGTTTCTGCAGTTTTATCTAGTTCTACAAACTATATTCATAGCTCGTTCCTGTGCTTTCCTTATTTCTTCTCTTTTCCTTTTGTTTTTTAGACAATTTTTTAAACCCCTTAAACATTTATTTTGTCACTCTGTTGCATTTCATCGTTGGAAGTTTTTCCAAAACCTCCAATTTATTGAATTCATAGCAGAGTTTCTACTGAAACAGAAGAGATGTCGGCGTGCCGTTTTGCTATGGCCATTGAAAATTTCTTGTAAATCTAACCGGGCTATAAATGTGTCGCTTTCTCTTTCAGCAATCGCAATGTTGTCATGAACCACGCGTTTACTTCTGTACAAGAAACGCACACAACACAGCGGCAGCTGAAGTTTCGCCAGTATCGTCTTCTTCAGAGCTTAGAAAGGTATACTGGTACGCAATTTACCGCGGCAAATGCTTTAGTAACACATACACAGGGATGAAAATCTAAATCGCAATCACACGATTGACAGCTTCTCGAAAAACCCACCGTTTTCACTTGCTTTCCACTGAGGAAGAAAGAGCACCTGATTAGAGCCGCATACTACTGATGACTGCACTACCCCACATCAAAAGTCGATGCGGAGGTACGCGGCGAGACCATGTGTGGTCTCTGGGCACTCCTCCCTACTATTCATTGAAGGATTCTTGGCATCTATCCAAAAAGCCTCAAGAAGTTTGTCTTGTCTTTCGTTTGCTATTTAGGTGTTCTTTTATACGGATACACAATAATTTAGACCTGCCCTTCTGTCACATAGAGGAATCGATAGCTATAGTTTGAATACCACCGGATACTCTTCGTTGTCAGTTAGTTCGTAACCGCATATATGACCGTCTATCTGAAACAGCGAACTGCGCAATTTCCCCTTATGGCAAGGACGGTGACTGCATGAGCTTAGGTACAATATACCTGACCTCTTTTAATGCTTGCGGAGACGAATATATTGGTGAAACAAGCAGACCTCTATGTACCCGCATAAAAGAACACCTTGATGACAAACAAAGGCAGAACAAAGTACCCCATTAGGGATGCATAGCATACAAAAGCATAGCGGAGACGATTTGGTATAAAAGTCACTCTCCTTGCACAGGATGCCGAAACACCAGCACGCAAACTTTTTGACGGTTTTTGGATAAATGCCGAGAACCCTGCAATGAGTAACAGAGAGGAGTGCCCAGAGAGCACACGTGATCTCGCCGTGTACCTTCGCATCGACTTTTGATATGGGGTGGTGCAGTCGTCAACCATTTGCCAACCAACTCTAACCAACTGTTCTTCCTCAGTGGAAGCCACGTAAAAACGGTGGGTTTTCCGAGAAGCTGTTGATCATTTGATTACGTATAGATTTTCGTCTTTCTGTACGTTTTACTGAAGCGTTTGGTATAGTAAGTTGCGCATTAGTGTACCCTTCAAGGCTCTGAAGAAGGCAATGTTGCCGAAACGTCAGCTACTGTTGTATTGTATGTTTGTTGTACAGATCTAAACGTGTGCTGTATGACAATCTTGCGATTACTGAAGAAGACGACGATTTTACAGCCGAGATTAATAAAAAGTCGACTGGCAATTCTGAGAGGACATTAGTTT